GTGTGTGTGTGTGTGTGTGTGTGTGTGTGTGTGTGTGTGTGTGTGTGTGTGTGTGTGTGTGTGTGTGTGTGTGTGTTCTCTTTCACGTGTGCTGCAGTGTGTGTTCACTGGGTCCATGACTCATATGGCCCTACCTACTCTGGGTCTCCGCTCGCCTCACGGACACACATATAAACACACTCCTTGGTCTGAGGGGGGGTTTTCGTGGCTCAGTGGGGGGTTATCGTGGCCAGCAGGTGGGCTAGCAGAGTGCAGAGCAGCAGGTTGGCCGTGGAGAGGTGCAGCGATGAGGCAGCATTGCAGTCTTTGCCCGCCTCGCAGCGGGATTGTTGGCACAGTACCCCCTTAAACTCTGGAGGACAGATGCACTTCTGGTTCTGGGAGCACGTTCCTCCATTCTGGCACAGGAGCATCTCCTCATCGCAAATGTTAGCTGTGAGCAGAGATGAAGGAAGGCAGAGAGCAGCAGTGGGGGGAGTGGTGCGACAGAGGGAGAGCGCAGGAAGTGCAGAGGTAAGGATTATGAAGAGAAGTTAGGAATAAAGAGGGTGCAGCAAAGTGACAGGTGGTAAAAGGATATTGGGAGTAGAAGAAAAGAGAGACGAAAGAAAAATGTGTAGCAAAGTGAAAGACAGGTGGGGGAGGACGGGGAGGGGTGATGTTGGAAAAAGGCATGATGGGAAGCAGTGATACAGGGGCAGGAGAAGAATCCAGGGCAGAAAGAACAAAGTAGAAAAGAAAGCAGGAGGAAGGAAATAGGCATGATAAATTCTCCAGTCTTTGCCTCAGGGAAAACAACAGGTAACACCTGCCTTTTTTGTTTTAGCAGCTCTTTTCTCCGTCTGTTTTTCTTGAGCCTGCACTTTCTCAGGGTCATGTTAAAATCATCGTCTTAGACCCGGCAGAAAATACACTGCACGCGTGATGGGTTAAGTAATGATTGGAGTAACAAATAACATCATTAAAATGCCATAAAAGGCATTAGGAAAAGCACAGGGGTAGTTGTACTGCGCAAGATACTTGACCTAAAAATGTTTGGAGGGAAAATAGAAGATCGGGCCTCCATGACAAGAAATAATTACATGAGATAACATTTGTTATTACACCGCAGATAATTGGCTTTGCTGAATTGGAGTATTTGGAGTAAGATGTCAAACCAAAGACATACTGTGTTTCTGTATACTACAGTGTGTCCCATATTATAATGAATACATCCACAATGTAAATGCTTGCCTGTGGAGGTTTAATGTGTGTGTGTGTGGGGAGGCTCTATTTGTGACTGAGGCCCCTGACTGCATGGTTGATGGTGAAAGACGGCGAATCCCTGTAATGGGGTTAAGGTGTGACAGGGGCATCCATTAAAGGAGCAGGTGATGCTGCTAATGAGCTACATGATCTATTCCCTCAGGAGTAAGGGAAACATGGGTAGATCTGGAAAACCACGACATTTCTTAAACCCTGAAGCCTCGAAACAAAAACATCAGAATCATACTCACAGTAACAGCCTTGTTTCCAGTGGAACCCTGGCAGACAGTCGTCACACTTGGCCCCTGTGGCGCCATCTTTACACTGGCAGAAGCCTGTACCGTTACACCGGTCATGAACAGAACCCATCTGGTTGCAGTTACACTCTGACAGAAAGAAAATAGAGGGCGTCATACCTTACCTTGTGAGAGACTGATCCCTCCCTCTTGTAATTTTTTAGGGTATTTGAGTTAAACAAAGTTAGCTATTTGTATTCACACCAGTATTAAGACCACTTTCAGCCTTATTTCTCCAGGATTCATTTTTTTCGTTTACTAAATATCCCATATTTTGTAATGGATGCAAAGCTATCAGAATTAAAACCTACTGTTATTCACAACTATTTCATTTTGCATGTTTGAACTGCATAACACACGTCTCATTTAACTCCACCTCAACAAACTGAGGTCTAGTAGAGGTTAACTTTTTGGAACAGTCTCAACAAGTTCACTAACACAGGTTCCAAACAACAGTACCCATCATACATCCTAAAACAGTGTGAAAAGAATACAGTGGTTCCAGTCTTCTCTAAACAGAAGAATGAAACTGTCCTCGGATGTTTGTGAATCTATTCCAATAAAAATTAGTTATTTTAACTGTCTGATATTTCAGAGGCAGATAAAATGAGTTTGGGGATCATTGTGGTATTTTAAACAGCTGAGGGTGTTTTTGTTAAAATTAAATTATGCTTGAACTTTATTCTGTAAATTTTCTTGTGATTCAAATACCCAATCAAACGGCACGATATTACATTTGCCCTCAAAAACACCCTTAATCCTCCCAAACAACTAACATCAATAAAATGTTGAACATCTTTTAGTTGTGCTGAAAAGCTAAATTTGTAGTGAGATTCATGTCACATCAGTCTGACAGAGACTTTACCCTCAAGTGTTCAACTCTTAAACACAAGATGATATTGAGCTTCTCTTTGGATTAGTTGAAAAAAACATAAATTCTCTGTGATGTTGGCACATTATTGTCATTACAAATACATATATTTATAGAAGCTGCCTCATATCCAGATCAGTAGTAGCTAGTAGCACATCAGAGATGGAAAAAAGAATGGCAGAACTGAACTGTCTTTGTCAGTTGACTGGTGATGAACCAACATTTCTCATCATGATGTAATGTGTGCTGATAGCTCATCTCTATCCAAGCTCACATTAATTTATGTATTTCAAATTTGCTAAATATTCATAAAATCGAAATGGACAGAGACACTGAGGTTACACAATCACAAACGGTTGACATCTGTGTGTTTGTGGGTGAGAGTGAGTCATTTCTTGCTTTGAGAGATGAAGGTGTGCCATGCTCAGTTTGCCAGTGTGCTGGCAGAAAAGCTAATGGGGCCTTATTTGTGCTGACTCCGATGCCTGGCCCTATGTGCTCCCCAGGCATGGCGAGTTTACCCTCCAACCCCCTGCGGTTCATCTACAGATGGATCCAAATCAGATTTTCACTCCACAGCTATGCAAACAGATGACCTCTTACTAGGACGTGTCCTTAGTAAGGTAGTGAGTAAGGAGTGAAAGCATCGATCAACAGTAAATACTGAAAACAGTATGAAACCTGTGTCTTGTATTTGCCATGTTTTCCATTAGATTTAACATTCGTTTTACTTGTTATAATATGTAGCATTAAGTGTTTGACAGTGTTTGCATCAATGTTAGATGATAAGGATTGAACCTCGACACATTTTAACACACAGAGTCGTTGACCTTGTACAAAGATGATGGGGCAGTGACCCCTGACACTCAAAAAGTGTGAGGGCTTGGGAAAAATTGGCAAAATAAGGTTGCTGCACCAGAAGCATTCTTCAAAATGGTTGTAGGTCTACTAAGTCTGTTGATTGATCATTGGTGTGTTGTAGCTTTAGCATGCAGTGAACCAATCAGAGTGCCATCTCTCAGTCCCTTAACCAGAGCAAATTGCAAAAAGGAAGTTATGTTTTCATCTGCATTTGATTTTGTTTATTACTTAACAAACTTAACAGGATTTCTCAAAAATTCCTTTACCGATTTCCATGAAAGTTGCCATGTTTTTAATTTGCCAGGCAGTAAGAAAGAGGAAACAGATTTGATTGTGGGCTAAGTGAAAAATGTGCTAATAGAATGTGTGTGTAACAAGCAGAATGTATGCATGATCTAATAATGTGCCCTTAAAATGACAGTGGAATGCTCGACCATTGCTTTCAGCTCAGGTTTTTGTTGGTCAGTAGCCCTCCGCTGCCTCAAGATAACAAAGTGCCAACAGTCCACTCGAACACACGTCGTTTTAAAACCAACATGCCCATGGTGCTCAGATGGGATTACAACTGCGTTGACTTGAAACTAGCAAAGACACTTGTGTTGCGCTTGGTGCTGCTCTATGCTGGGTGTGAGATTGTTGAATTTCAAGTCCCACAAAAAAAAGTCCCCTAAAGAAAACCATATATGTTAGAATTTCAATGCTGACACATCCACCATCATCCTTGACACACTCTCACTGTCTCCCTGTAGACTGACCGATGCAGACGCTCTCATCGTCCAGTTCAGCAGAGGCGTTGCGGAAGTATCCCAGTCTGCAGTGTTGGCAGTTCTGGCCCCTGGTGTTGTGTTTGCAGCTGACGCACGTGACGATGTTCAGGTAGTCGATGTAGCTGCAGCGGTTGGAGTGGCCGTAGCACTCACAGTCTGAAACAGAAGAGACAGTTTCAAACCCTTTTCTTTGGGGAGGACAGTTCTACATTTTTATGTTAATCTCAAAGTTTAAATGTTCGAAAACGTGTAGAGGATTGTAGTCTTTTAAGCCGTTGCGTTCTCATAGGATTTTTCAGTGACGGCAGGAAATGATAAATGACCTGCACTAACAGATAGTGTATGTCTGAAAGGTTTAGTTTTAACTGTCAGCGAACAAATGAATGACTCTGTGTGTTTTATGACTCTGCTTTCTGACTTTATATTGGTTCAATAAAGACAAACCACTCCCTCTCCATTACTACACTCACAGGTTTGCTGAGTCTGCTTCACTGTGCTGCACTGATTACTGATGGGAATTCCACTATCCTGTGTGTGTGTGTGTGTGTGTGTGTGTGTGTGTGTGTGTGTGTGTGTGTGTYTGTGTGTGTGTGTGTGTGTGTGTGTGTGTGTGTGTGTACATGCGTTTGTGTGCAGGTGCAGTACAGGCATGTTCATTTTGTCTGGGAATGTAATTACATTACCAGATGAGTAGCTTATTAGATACACAATCATAACCAAGGGAGTTTGAGGTGAGTGATACACTCACAGCTGTACAGTACGATTCTCTCACACTGCACCTGGCTCTGTGAAATCTCTCTTACCCCGATTAACCTGCGAGAAACCCTTACCGTCCTCTCTTTTCACTGTTTGTTCTTCATTTACAAAGACTTAAATTCTCTTTCATAAAGCGCCACGCAATCAGAGCGCATAATTAAACTTTCTCTTTGTAATTCATGAATTATCTGCGAGGATTTGATTCGCAGGTTTTACTGTACATGCTTGAATGCTTGTTAAATTAAGACGTCTTACCAATTTCACACCCTGAAAGCAAAGCTAAAAAAAAAAACCTAAGACCTTTTGTATAATTTTTTCCTCCGAGAGAGAAATGAAACCCCTAATGTCATTTACCAGAGGATCTGCTTTGTGCATAGGGGTGCAGCGAGAGGTGGAGGGTTGTTGCTCTACATTCTCGCTGCGATTATCTTGGCTGAGGCTGGTACCTAATTAAGGTTTTATTAAGCTTTAGAAGTTGGCTGCAGTCGTGTGCTGCAAGGCATCACTGTCCTCTAAAGAGGCGTTTACCAGGCATGTTTATGCAAATACACATTTAAATGCACATTAAAAAGTCGGAGTTTAGCTGTTTAATCAGCCGTCACATTATTATTTTATTATTGTTTGGTTGATGATGCCAGCTGAAATATTAATGAGCTGGTTTAAAGGAAGCCAGCAAGAGGAGCACCATAAAATGCCTCACTCAGCACTGAGGGAACCGTGCGAGCAGTGGGGGAAGAACTGCCTAATTAAATATAAATGGCAAATTACTCCACAGACTAGAGAGGCAATGGGACATTGTTCCACAAATTAATGTTACGAGTCAAGATGCTGCTTTATTGGTATTCATCAATTGTGAATTGTTAACGGTGAAAGACAGTTAAAGCGGAAGAAAGAGAGGGGGTAGCCTGCATCGGAGAGTCTTGGAGGTTGAAAGAATAATGGTATAGTTTGCTAACAAGCATCCTGTGTAAAATCAATACACAGAAATGTCAGTGTGGGCTGTTGTTTTATGCTTCAATATGAACTTCATGTCTAAATACTCACCTTGATCACCCACATTAAGCAGAGACAACCAAGAGGGAGTCACAGATGCATAGAGAAAAATGAGCAAAATAAAAAAAGACATGAAACATGCAATGAAAGGAATTGTTCCACAGGTTTTATCCATGAAAAACTGCAACAACGCTCCAGACAAACTAAAAGACTTCAAAATCCAGTGATCTGAGGATCTAACCAAGCCCAAGTCTCCCCTCTGGATCTACAGACCACATGCTGCTCATGATGGTCTCTTACCTTTGAAATCATGGTATATGATCCCAAACAACTGTCTGGCCTGGGGCTCTCCTGAGATCAAGAGTTTCAGAAGCCCTTGAGGGATGAAGGAATCTTTGTGTAAGAGTCATCTGCGCATCATTCACTGTGCCAGTCATATACAGCGCTAAACCTTCACTGAGACGGGCAGACTTCATCTGAAAAACATTCATCGACTCCAGAGAGAATCTTTAAAACTCAAATTGAAAACATGTGATACATACAAATTATGATAAAATAATACGACTTTATTCTGCACGTTTAATGTTCTAAATTCTACCTTTCTGCTTCTCTTGTTCCTTCTCTCTCCCTGTCTTCACATTTTCCCTATTTCCAGTTTCTCAATAATGAGCTGAACTACAAAATCTTGTAAATCATTGTTGGGTTATCTTAGACTGTTTTACCAAGCTAAATATTACAAAGACGACTGACAAGATATTCAAATGTTGGCCAAAACCTTTCCTAATATAGAGTCTGTTCACATCTTCTAATATAATCTAAGTGTGTTTACAAAATTATCACCGAAGTGTCATGAAGTGCAATATTTTCATACTATTTATAAACAGCTGATCAGATAAGAGTATTTAAAACTGAAAATTGAACAATGATCTCACTGTTCTGAACGTAGATATATAAATATAGGTATATCTCAAGAGCATCTTGAATGTCAAATCTTTCTTATCTAGTGTCCCCATTCCCCCCCCTTCATCCTCCTTTCTGCGTTTTATTTCTTGCCCTTCAGTGTCAGTCACTGTCTCAGTTAAAAATACGGCACCACTTTTGGAACCGAATTAAGATGTAGCCTCGTAGCTTACGTTGACTGACAGGTTATCATGTAGTTGAAGAAATAGATTTAGAGACTTTTGTTGTTTGCAGTTTCCATCTTTCATTGTGTAGTGTCAAAAGTTTAACGCGTGGTGAGAGTTTGTCTTCTGCATATTTACTGCACTGAAGGTGATTTAATGTACATGTTACTACCTCTACAAATAAGAGAGATACCTCTTTTATGAGCCTTTCTCTGTGAACGCTCCTCCTCCTCCCTTTTCTCCCCGTGCTCCGATGAGGTTGTTGTTTTGTGGCCATGTGCTTCATGTACGTGTCCCCCAAAATTGTGGGAGACTGAAACAGCAGAATAATTGACATCATGAGCAAGCTGAGGTAGATTTATGAGAAGATTACCACCACTCAACAAAGCCAACCTTTACTTTCTTCTCCGTGCCCATGTGAGGTTGTTGCCTTGTGGCCTGTAGACTGTATACGTCTCACAAGGCCCACTATTCCTATTAAACTCACTCTAGCTGCATCACATTGCACATAGTAGTAGATATCAATACTTTTTGTCATCGAGATCCACAAATTAATCTCTAAGAAATCTGGCAAATTTAGGAGAAAGTGAAAAGAAATTCCTGGATCTGTCCACTGAACTGGACCGGCACCAAAGTGTAATGGTTTCTTCACTGACCCATACGACATACTTCTACCAAGTTTTAAGTTATTTTATCCATTTAGTAGTTTGCGTATTCTTGCTGACAAACAAATAAACCAGCACACGGTTGAAAACATAAACTTCTTGGCAGAATTAAACTTTTTTTCTTTTTTCTGTACGTATTTAAGATACATTCATATCAGATAAAAAAAACACTGTTGTACTCAATCTATATTCGAACATACAGATACATGAATGATATGTATTTCTGTAATTGTTTATAATGTGCTAATCTACAGGGAAAAAAGATTCTACCACTACACATTAATCTGATACCTTTTCTGTCTCTGTGGTCAGATGATGTTGTTTTGTGACCATGTGTGTGATCCTCAGACTTTTGAGAGACTGAAACACCACAGATGTCATCAACATAACAAGTTATTTTAATTACATATCTACCAGTTTTTTCAGGCAGCATGTTTTGCTGTCAAATTAACATAACAAGGAAAATTTCTGGACGGATTTCTGCTGCTCCCACATTTTAGTTAGCGGAGGCTCATTATTTCTCAGTACAATGAGCTGAACATTTACATTGCTACCACTATGTCCAAAACAGATACCTTTCTTTTCGCTGTGCTCCTCCCTGTGCACATGTGAGGTTGTTGTGTGGCCATGAGTCTCATGTACATGCTCCTCAGACTTGTGGGAGACTGAAACAACATTAATGCAATGAGCAACGATCTAGATACATTTATGCCACTCCCATGAATTTCCTCTGTACAGGTTTTCTGCGGTCT